CCTCCGGCAGCCGCGAGTCTGCAGGCCCCCAGGCGCGGGGCTGCGGGGGGATGGAGGGGGGCTTTTGCAGCCACGCGTGACCTGTATCTTTGCATGTTCATCCTGGGAAAGTGTGCAGGGGCCAAACAGGAAGACCTGGCCTCTTGCTCAGGAGGGGAAAAAATCTGGAATGGTCCCCGGCACATGCATTATAAAAGAGAGGCGGGCTTGGCCGAGATAACTCAGCCGTTTGCAGCTGTCACTGTGCTTCTTAAAAGAATGGCCCATTTACTAATCCTCCTGACCGGTTCGGCCTCAGCACCGAGCCCTGTTTCTTTAAAGCAAAAGCTGCTTTGCTCTGGACAGAACGGGAACTTCTCTGTCAGCAATTTAAACAGCTAGATATGTGATAGAATTATTTTGCAAGGTTCCAGCATTTCAAGGGGATATGTCATAAATGTAGTTTTTTTCCTTTCAGGTGTTTTAAGTAGATTTAAAAATAACAGTATCCAATAAAACAAACTACACTACACTACAATGCAGTGCATTGCAGCCTCTAGAGATAACACGCTAGGGTATGAGAAAGCACATCAGTTCTCGTAACATCACATCTCTTAAAAACAAAATGGTCTTTGGAAGGGGGTGGGGTGGAGATGACACCCAAGCCCAAGAGCTCCCAGTGCTCTTTGAATTCCCTTGCTGAATAATTAGCTTGCTGAATGGAGGGGCTGATGATGACTCAGCCGCAGATGGAAGGGGGTCAGGTGACTATTCAGTTCGGTGGGATTTTTATGGACCCTTGACAGGTCCAGACCTGTGTTTAGATTCCTTTCTCTGGTTCAAAAACAACATGAGGCCAGGACAGGCGCGGCTGCCCTTTGGAGGAGAACGTGGCTTCCTTTCCTGTAAGGCCGGAGCCCCCAGGAGCTGTGGCAGCCAGGAGCTGTGTTGGGACTCACCATGAAGTGTGGCCCAGCAGCAGCTGGCGGGGGGCTGCACAGCCAGGCCGCTTTAGTTGGTAATTGAAGCAGGCGTTCCCCTCAGAGGCCGCACACCCGCTGCGCTGCTGCAGCAGCCCGGGATTTCTTTATTGCCATGTTCTTCATTTGGCTCAGGCTGGCTTCATCGGGTCTCCATCCTCGCTTCTGCCCCAGCCCAGCCCGGCCCGAGCAGAGCCGAGCAGATGGTGGAGAGGGAGTCCTGGACTGGATTCCACATCTGGCTTTGGGGCTGTGTAACCTTGGACAAGTCACTTGGTGTCTTTGGGCCTCAGTTTCCTCATACTCAAAGTAACCCAGGAATTTAGAACAGGGTTCCCTATCCTTGGCACTAGTGACATTTGGGGTGGAATCATTCTGTCATGGTGGGGGTGTCCTGTGTTTTGTGGGATGTTCGGCAGTATCCCTGGCCTCCACCCACCAGGTGCCAGTAACAAACCTTCTCTTCTGTCCAAGTTGTAACAACAGGCATTGACCCCTGTGTGTGTGGGCGGGCATCCATTGGCTGGCTGAGGGCCACTGATTTAGAAGGTCCCCACATGTCTTCAGCTCTGGTATTCTCGAATTCATCTTCCTATGGTTTGTTTGATGCTGAGCCCTTGCTCAGAGATCGGACTCCCTTCCATATGTTGTATATGTTGGAAATACAATGGGAGGCTCTTTTATGCTGTGCGGCTCCAGAAATAGCTCTGCCAGAAGGGGAGGACTGTTTGTGTGCTGGATGTAGCTGGGAAGCCAGCTTGGCACAGTGTCAGGGAGAGGAAACCGCCAGGCACTGGGTCAGCGTGTGCGTGTGTGGCAGACCTGCAACATGTCCTTGTATGGGGCTACTCGCATCCGGAGGGTGGACTAACAGTTGAGTCTCTCTCCTGTTGCAAAGGTGGGAAAAATGGTACCTGCAAAAGCATGAGCAGGAAATGAGATGAGGGGCACTGGTGGTGCCGATGGGGGGAGGGGGTGGTGGCAATGTCCACCGCAGGTTGAGGAGGTCAAGACAAACTGCCCTGGGCCCCTGACATGGACACCTCCTCTAGTCAGTGGGGGTGACATGCTTTAAGCTTGAGTGCAGGACTTGTGTCTAAAGTCTGGCCTCTGCCACTTGGTAGGGCAGCTTTGCTCATAGCCCCTCCCCTCGGAGCAGCTGCTGAATCCATACAATGGGGCCACTGCACTTGCTGTCTTGCTCCCTTGGCTCTTTGGGGGGATAAGATAGATGTAAGAAAGGTCTGCATGCTTGGGAATTCCCAAGAGACAGGATGAGGCGATGGCTGTGGCATTGCAGGTGGGGGCTTAGAATAGCCAGTTCAGTTGTCCTTGTCACCCCCCTCCACCCGGCCTGGAACTGCAATGTGTCCCTCTCCCCATTCCCCTGCCATCAGCTCTCTCTCGGATTCTCCTGGCCCTATAAATCTGGTCTCCTAGGGAGGGTTGGTGATCAGTGTGAGAGAGCCGCTGTGCAAGGCTGGGCGCAGCAACCACTGCCACCCTCTCCCGGCCACTGTTCTTACAGTCACGTTCCGGGCCCTCCAGGCAGCTGCCCTGTATCCCGTATCCCACAGTGGCCCTTGCTGCCAGCCTTGTGTGCCTCAGATGTCTCGGCGCTCTCAGTAGGCCATTGGGCTCTGTCTCTGCAACACGTCAATATTGGGCAAGAAAATAAAAAGGGGGAGGATTCTCCATCAAATGAGACTTATGAGACTAACTGTCGTGGTCAGCACTGCTGTTGGGGCACAGTTCCAGGGACTGGGTGGCTTAACAGCAAGCATTTATTTCCCACAGTTCTGGAGGCTGGAAGTCCAAGCTCGGGGTGCCAACATGGTTGGGTTCTGGTGAGGACCCTCTTTGGAGCTACAGATGGCTGCCTTCTCCTTATGTCCCCACATGGCAGGAAGAGAGCCAGCGAGCTCTCTGACCTCTTCTTACGAGGGCATAAGTCCATTCACGAGGGCTCCACCCACACGACCTGATCACCTCTCAGTGGCCCCGCTTCCTAACACCGTCTCATTGCAGGTTAGGATTTCAACATATGAATTTAGAGAAGACACATTCAGTCTTTGACGATGACCAAATATAGCTGGTAGTCCTTATTTGGATCCTAGCCTGAACAAACATCTATAATAGGCACTTGGGGACACCTGGGTTATGTTTATGTGACTGCCTACCAGCTGATACGAAGAAACTACTGGACATTTTATGAGATGTGATATTTTGTGGTGCAGTAAGCACCCAGCTAAGCCCTCCTGGATTGCAGACAGAAACAGTGAGCTCAGATGCTTTGAGATACTTTGTTACACAGCAGTGGATACACTGTGTGTTTGTAGAGTCTTATTCTTTGAAGATGCACGCTAAAGTGGTCAGGGATGAAGTGCCATGATAGAATAAGTTACTTCTTACATTTAAAAAACATTTTTGGAGATGTCCTTAATAAATGGCTGAATAGAAGACATGAATTTATACCTGCCTCTATGTTCAGTCTGTTGCAAGATCACATGTCATGTAGCCTCTGGAAAATTCTGCTGTACACTCACAGGAGAATCAGAATAGAAAAGGTAAATAATTTAAGATTATTATAAAAATACTTTGACAGCATAGAACCCCCTAAAGAGTCTTGGGGACCCTCTAGGTGTCCTCAGATCACACTTTGAGGACCACTGCTCTAGATCAACAATTGACTTTTCAATGGTTCTGGTAAGTGGAGAAAGAACGAGATGAGGCAAATATGGCCCAATAGGAACGTTTGTTGAGTCCATCAGTGTTCCTCATTGGACTCTGGATAATGTTCTGTGTAGTTGAAAATGTTCATAATAGAAAGTTTAAAAAAGAAAGAAATGCAAACTCTTTAGACAGGTGGGGGGTTGTGATGGAGGAGGTGTGGGAGTGGGGAGCGTTTTCACCGGAGCTCCACGTGCCCTTGTTTGGAGATCAGTTCACATCAGCACGCTCACAGCGTGTCCCCTCGAGGGGTCATTTATTAAACTAGTCCCCTGTTGAGGGACATGTGGATCACCAAGGCTTTTGTAATCAATGCTGGTGGTATTGTATGAATGTAAAAATGCTAAAGAGGAACTGATCCTCAGATCAATTACAGCCAAACCTTGTTTCTCAAATGTCTCGCATCTCAAACAATTTAGTTCTCAACCAAGCTGTTCACAGAGGAAAAAAAAGTCTCGGTTGTTGAACTAAACTTCCCCAGTGACCTGACGACCCTTTCACATTGATACCTTAGCATGACAAAAAGCGGCTCTCAGGCAGCAAAGGAGATAATGCTTTTGTTGCTGGTGAAATCCACTAGCCCAATTTTAACACACAAAGAGACTATCAAGAGTGCTGCTCTTGCTAAGGGTGTGACAGAAACTATGAGCAAGGCAATTGAAGAGGGAGAAAAACTGTTGTTGATTCGTAAAGCAGTTAGCCTGGAACAGCATTTGGGAGGCAGGGACATGTGAAGAGTGAGAATGCAGCCTGCTGCCCTCCTGAAAGACACGGCCTGGAACAAGTGCTCAGAGGGATTCCTCTGAGGCTAGTAGGGGGTGGTTGGATAAATTTAAGAAAAGAAGTGTTTGTTTATAGATTAAACAGTAATTAGACATGTACTGTATATAAGAAAAGTTAAAACAGGGCATCATTTGGGGGTCTGGAACAAATTAATTCAATTTACATTATTTCTAATGGGAAAAAATGATTGGGTTTTCCAACCAATTGCTTCTGGAACAGCCTTCCGGAACGAATGAAGTTCGAGAACCAAGGTTCCATTGTAAATGCATAGAATTTACATGTTGGAAGCTAGCTTCAAATCAGAGTAACCCTTATGTTACTTTGATATGAGGAAAAGATGTCTGGAGAAGTCTGGTGACTTGCCCACAGTCACGTGACCGGCAGTGACAGAGGCGGGGACGCATCCACGTCTCTGGATGCCTCTACAGAATCTTCTCTTCTCCCTCTAGGCTCTGAGGTCAGGGACTGTGTGTGGCCCATTAACCACTGCAGACACCGAGCAGAGCACATGGCATAGCAGGTGCTCATTAAGTACTCGCTGAAGGAACGGTAAGTGAAATATTAGCATCCTGAGAAAAGACCACCAGTATCACGAGAGCTGCAAAGGCATTTCCATAACTGTGCGCCTCAATAGTCATCGTTTATTCACTCGAGTAGCAAATAGTTGCTGGGTCCCTGCTGTGTCTGGGCCAGGCTTCCTTAACTTGACAGTATGGGCATTGGGACTGGATAGTCTATGGTGTGGGCTGTTGTGCACTGTCCCGTGTTACACAGCATCCCTGGCCTCCACCAACTCGATGCCAGTACTAACCACTGCTCCACCCCCTAGTTAGGACAGCCAAACTCCAGACATTGCCAAATGTCCCCTGGTGGGCAAAATTGCCCCAGTTGAGACCTGCCACTCTTGGCAGTGGGATATACTGGAACCAAATGGGCAAGGTTCATGCCCTCTTGTTAATGACACTCGAGTTAAAATATAGCAGGAGGCGAGGATGGACAGTGATGGGTAGAGAATGCTCGTTAGACAAGTGGTCACAAAGGCTGCTCTGAGGCTAGCACGTGAACAGGGACCCAGAGGAAGTGTGGGAGAGCTTTGTTAGCATCGAGGGGGCTGAAGGCTCAGGGCTGAGGGGACAGCCAGTGCAGAGGCCCTAAGGCGAGGCTAGGCCGAGTGCATTTCAGGAGCTGCAGGGAGGGCGGTGCACCCAGAGGCAAGGAACCCGGAGAAGACTCTGTGGGAAAGGTGTATGCTCCGAGGGGTAGTGGGGAAGACCTTGCCGAGCTTGGCAGGAGGGCCACCGACCCTGGACTGTTCTAGGTGTGATGGAAGGCCACTGGATGCTTTTGGATGGGGGAGTGATATGTCAAGACTTGTGTTGGAAAGGGTGACTCTGGCTCCTATAAGAGTCAGAGGTAGCTGAGGCGGAAAGCAGGGCGGCGGGCGAGCAGTGACCTGGGTGACCAGGTGAGCTGACTGTGCCTCTCACTCAGCAGCAGTGTTGTGCTGGGCACCTGGGTGGGCCTTGCCTATCAAGGTGGTAGAATTGGGCCCGTGTAGTTACCATGCTCCCAGATGGCGCCTCATGTCCCAGTCAGGGCAGTGTTCCCCTGATGGGTGGTGATCACAGGGACAGCAAAGGAACCAGTGTGTACATTCTGCATATGATACTAGAAAGGTCTCTGGCTGTCTTATTGTGAATGTACTCACCTGAGTCCCCAGGCTACTGTTTGGTGGCTGTGATTCTTGGAGTCACAGTTAGATCTGTATACAGCTTTCTCACTGCCCTTTGAGCCCAGCACATTTTGTCACTGAGTCTGCGAGCTGGCTGTTCTCTGTGCCTGAGGGCTGTTCTCTGTGCTTGAGGGCTGAGTCCCCAGGCTGCATGCTCGCTGGGCCAGATCATTCCCGCCCATCGGCACCTGCCCTGAGCTCTCCCTGCCCCTGCCACGCATAGGCCCCCATCATCTTGTATTTCCTTCCTCCTGGACCTGTTTCCCTTGGCAGCTTTGTTCCTGGGGATCTTGCTGACTGTCTGCTGGTCTTTGTGCGATTCTTGGGAGCATGGAGCCTGGCCATTGGTTGAACTGGTGACAGTCCCAGGCCAGAGCCTTCCCTGTCCGAGGTGATTGAAGTCACATAGGGGAGTCCAGAAGGGCTGGGGGCAGGCCCTGGACCCTCCCATTAGCAGAAGCTCTGATGCCCAGGGCAGGCCTGGGGCTTAGCCAGAGGCAGACCGCACACAGAGCCTGCATGCTGCTCCCCCTCGGGAAGTCTGCTTCCTGCCCTGGTGGCCGGGTGGCAGCCGGGCCTGCTTCTCTTGTGCCCTCCCAGCAGTTTTGACCACGTCTGTCTGTGGGCTGACTGAGCTTCTCCACCTCTTGGTTCTTCATGTCCTTTCTGGCTGCAGATGCTGAATGGGAAACATTTTTTTCCCTCCACTGTTACCCTTGGAGGTGCTGGCTGCTTGCAGGAGCCTTGTGGTTAATAGGAGGCCGAGCGCCTCCATGACAGGAGTCATTTTTCCTCTTCGCTTAGTCACGCCACTACCAGCACCTCTGTGACCTTACAAATTGACTGTCGGTTCAGCCCTTGCCTTGGCCGCCCAGCTAGAAGGGGGTTGAGCCACCGTGGGCCATGTTCCCTGTGGCCTTGTTCTGGGGACATGGGAGGGACACCTCGAGACTGTATCTGAAATCTGATGACTCCTTGCACATAACCTTTTTTTTTGTTATTCCTCACATGAGGATATTTTTTCCATTGCTTTTCAGAGACAGTGGGAGGGAGGGAGGGAGAGAGGGAGAGAGAGAAACATCGATGTGAGAGAGACATATGGATTGGTTGCCTCCTACACGTGCCCCCACTCGGGGCAGGGAGCAAACCTGAAACCCAGTTACCTGCCCTTAACTGGGAGTCGAAGCCAAGACCCTTTGCAGTGTGAGCCAACACTCTAACCACTGAGCCACACTGGCCAGGGCATGTAACCTTTAAAAAGTTGCAAGTCACCAGTATCTGTTAAATTTGATTTTCCCATAAAGGGAAGGAGTGCCCCACACAAGCGGAACAGAGATTGCTGTGGAGATACATGGTCAGAGGAGGTGAGGCTGAGGAAGTCCCAGGAGAGGGAGGGACACAGAGCAGCTGTCATGGGCTGAATCCTGTCCCTCAAAATTCACATGTGAAGCTACCCCCAGCCCCTCAGAATGCGATGTTATTTGGAGACAGTGGCTTTACAGAGGTCATCAGGGTAAAATGAGGCGATTAGGGTGCACCCTGACCCTGTCTGACTGGTGTCCTTATAAGAAGAAGTAGAGATTCCTGGGACAGAAGGAACCAGCCTGTTGTCACCGTAGTGACGTCAGACTTCCGGAACTCTGAGGCTGTCTTCTCTGTTGTGACACTCAGTCTCTGCCCGGTGCTCAGAGCCGCCCAGCCTCTGTCCTGTGCTCGGCCGCCGCCCCAGTGAACTAACACAGCAGTGTTTTCGGGGAGGTGGGAGCCTTCCCCCGCTGGGAGTCAGAGGTAACTGCGTGCCCGACTTAGGCTCTCACCCCGAGGCCTGCTGGGTTGTCGTGGAAGAAGGGCCCTGGAGACCTGGGCTCCAATCTGTGAGACTTGGACCTGTCACCTAACCTTTCCTCTGCCTCGGTTTGTTTAACGTGGGCCTGAGGGTGACAGTATTTCATTCAGGGAGTGTCAGAGCCCTAAGGACTGAATATCTGAGATGTGCCTAGCACGATGCTCTAGATGAAGCTGCTGTTTATTATTATTATTATTTTATCTTTATTGTTGAGAGTATTACAGCTGTCTTCCCCTTTTCTCCCCCTTGCCCCCCACCATCTGGTTCTGTTATTATTATTATTGTGACAAGGAGTCTCTGGGGACATTGTGAGTCCTTGGCCCTGGCAAGGGGCACGCAGATACCTCCTGCCCCTCTCCCCGGCCCCTGGGGTGGGGTGTGGGAACACCGAGCCCATTATTTCACCCAAGGCCACGTGAAGTTGGCTTGATTCCCTTTCCAATTCGCAGGCTGTGTTCCAACATGGGACACATAGCTGGTGACCCTGGGGCCATAGGAACCTGCGCAGAGGGAGGGTTGGGGCCCATACAGGCTCTCTAGGCCTCTGGGAGCCCCTGATGAGGGAGCAGAGCCGGCGGCCCGGGAGGCCGGCCAAAGAGGAAGGCGGGGGAACAGGAAGCATCCCTCCCCACTCTGCTGGCTGCAGGCAAAATTTTGAAACAGGCAAATTTTAATTGTCACATGTCTTTCTGCACGTCCTTTGTCTCTGACCTTCCCCCTTGTTGGGACTTGGGACTGTTGCTGGTCCTGTGGCCCTAGGCCCCTTACCACGCGGCCACTAGGGGCCCTTCTCACTGTCAATACCCCTGGGTCTTTGCCCTCCAGGGAGCCCGGCTTGGGGTCTAGAGGGTTAGCTGGGGCGCGAATGAGCTGTGGCCCCTCACCACCCTAAAGGTGTCTGCGTTGAAAAAAGTGAGACCCCATGACCTCAGATGAGTGTGAAATTGGTGAGGTCGCGGGCAAGGGGGAGAGCTGAGACGAAAAGCTGTGACTGGGGTGGGGCCAGCCTCCAAGGTAGACCCTGATGACCCTGGCTCCTGGTGTTCATGCCCACGTGTAGTCCCCTCCCACCCTGACCATGCAGGGCTGACCTGTGCCACCAATAGGACACGGTGGAAGCAATGGTGTTTGACCTCCAAGGCTGGGTCACAAGAGACTCTACTGCTTCCACCTTGTCCCTTGGGTGACCTGCTCTGGAGGAAGCCAGCTTCCATGTCCTGAGGACACCAAGCAGTCCTGTGGAGATGCAGGTGGAGCAGAACCCAAGCCTCCCGCCAGTAGCCGGCACCAACTTGTCAGCACGTCTGGGAGCCACCTGGGAAGTGGGACCTCCTGCCCCCATCAAGCCCTCAGATGGCTATAGCCAGGGCCCATAGTTTGACTATAACCTGCTGAGAGACCTCGAGCCAGGAAGACCCAGCCGAGCGCTCCTGACTTCCTGACCCTCAGAAACTAAGGCCACACGTTTATGTGTAGCTGCTGAGTTCTGGGGTAACTTGTTATGCAGCATTGGGTAGCAAATACAGCTGGTAAGAGCCCAACGTTTACGGAGGGGAAGTCAGCTCCCCAGGCTGTAGCTGCTGCCCTCTTGCCCCTTCTGTAGTGCCACCATCCTCCAATGGCTTCACATTTGTTCATGGTGTGGATTCCCCCCAGCGTGGGGAGGAGAGGAGCTTCGTGCAAGGTTTAGGAATATTGATGATAAGTTACGGCATATTGATGATAACTTTGAGTGCATTGATTTTAAGTAAATGCACAACTGCCTATATTTCCTGAAAATGTATATCCCCACGTCCATCTTCATGGCCTGGAGACTTTGGTACAGTAGCCCCTAAATGGCAATAGGATTTGGATGCCTGGTGGTCACTTCGCGCCCTTGGCATTTGCACAGGTGGGATGTGGTTTTCTGTGTGAGCATCTCCCCCTTTCCTCCTGCCCCAGTGAACGTGCCCCCACCTGTGATGCCGTGGG